ATCGTATGGCCAGGGATGCAGCGACAAGAGGCCATGTCATCGAGGGTGGTTTTAGCGGGTCTCAATCCCATGACAAAGGGTTCCAGGGCCAAGGTTATCCCTAGCAGTTTCACGCTGGTACAAGCAACCTTACAGCTTACTGATGGTGGCTCGACACGTGCTAGTGGTTAGATGGTTCAGGCACAAGTTCAAACTTCTCAAGGTGCACATTCAGGGTATTCAGGTTGTGAGGGCCAATTAGGTCTGTTTGAGTCATCAAGGGTTGTTATGAGTGTCACATTTGGCCAATTTGCTAGAGAGTGCCCAGGGTCAATCTTCCAAATCTAGGGTCAGGAGGTTCAGGAATTCGGGGCTCGGATACATTTAACTAGGGGTGTTCCTAAGGTACTAGAGGTAGTCCTCTAGCAGGCATATTGAGTGGTCAAGGTGGACATGACCATATATATGCTTTTTTGTGGAGGCTCAAAACATAGACATCGAATGTTGTTATCACATGTACGATCTCTGTGTGCCATCAGCATGCTTATGCTTTATTTGATTGGGGATCTACCTTTTCATGTGTGTCTACCATTATGCTACATGATTAAATTTGTCTTGTGAGCCAATGTATGTGTCGTCGCGTGTAGCTACCCTCATAAGTGATTTTGTAGTAGTGGGTCAGGTATATAGAGCTTGTGTAGTGACCACATAGGGGTACGACACTTTGGTAGACTTTATTGTGTTATATAAGGTGGATTGCGGCGTGATCCTAGGCATGAATTGGTTGTCTCTCTTTCATGCAATCTTGGATTCCAAGACTGTTAGTTTGTGCATGCCTGATTCCTCCTCTGATATTGACTGGTTCCGATATTATATTTCGAGAGGTTTGATCTCCTACTGATATATGACATGGCCCTCTTTCCTATATATAATATATTCTTGTCTTCTGCTTTGATTATTGTTATTACTTAAAATGCTTCTTCCGCATCTTGCGTTTGGCTTTAGGCTTGTCCACTCGGTAGGTTGTAGGATACCATCATGGCCCAAATTTGCGTCATGATAGAGATGTTTTAACATCCTACAAGCTAGTATAGATAGCATTAAAAGGGAGCCATCTCCAATTAAACCTCCTTTCCCAGTTAAGGTACATCAAACCCTAAGTGGTTCTTTGGTGGTTGGTTAGAGTTATGTAGGTAATAATACACAGTTAGTTATGGATAGACTTAGAGAGTGTTTGGATTGACTTATTTTAAAATAGTTTATAAGTTAAAAGCGATAAGTTGGTCATATCCAACTTTGAACTTTTACCTTATTTTTGTACTTTTCTTGGCCTAAAAGTAAGTGCTCAAAAGCACTTCTTATCTTTCTAAAACACTAGAAAAAGTCCCAAGCACTTAAAGTAAGTCAATCCAAACATCCTCTTAGGCTATCACTTGAGTCCTATATGCATATGCTACAAAATTGAGGCAATACTTTAATTTTAAAAAGGCCAAGAGAGAGAGAAGTAACTGAAGCCAAACTGACCGTTGAGCTCCACCAAGAGGAGGAATATTGGCCTCTGTGTGAAGATTGTTATGAAAAGCCAATGGAGGTGACCTTGTACTCTTGGGAACCAATGGACTCTCATTTTGAAACAATGGAGATGATTGATTTTGTTGGGAGACAAAGGGGCACTGATCACTTGATATCAAATCTGAACGACTACCAAAAAAGGGTGGAAGAATTAGATAGCTCAGTGTGCACTTAAGTGAAAAAGTAAACAATTCCACACTGTATGCACTAATAAACAGCTCAATATATTCTGCGACAAAAATGCTCATTGAGTTGTTTAGGACAGACATTACTTATGACAAGTTACATCAACAATCAAAATGGAATGTTTCAAGTTACGGAGAAGAGTGTTTTTGTGGGGGGAAAACAAGGAAATAAAAATGTACCTTCCCCTCATGGTCATAGAGGCTCCCGGAATCTCTGCATCAGAAGAAAATGAAGTATGTGGCCCTGTTGTTCTCAAATCTTGAAGTTGGGAACCTCTAACACTAGTAGAGAGGGCATTTTCAGGTAAAGATGGCACTAGTTGGGGAGACTGTTGGTGGGCTTGGGCATCATAATCATGGTAGATGTATTTGTGTCCATTACCCCATTTAGGAAGAGTGTCACTGGGTGATAAATCAAAACTATTCAGTAAGCATATAATAAATAATCTCTGAAAACCATGATAGTGAAGTTTTAATTTGAATTTAGTATTGCAAAAATCACCCTAATGGCAACCAGCTAACTTTATTCCAAAATTCAATTCAAGGTGTGGAAAACAGCGAAAAGAAGCATGAAAATAGTCTCGAAAACTCTAGTAAGGTACCTGGTAGAAGGAGTGCGAGAATTCCCAAAAGGGGTTTGCGCTTTAGGAGGGGCAATGGGGCCTGTATTCTTCCCGAAACCCTGAAACGCCATTAAACCTTATACAAAAACAACAATCAATATGAATATGAACTCTTCAACTGCATCTCGGATTCTCAATCGCCTCCTGCTTCCCTCAGTTTACTCTTCCGCCATTTCCCAATTAGGTTAAGGAAACGTAAGAAATTGAATTTTATTAAAAAAAAAAAATTAAGGCTCCCTAAAATCACTCATTAATTTCTTCTCAAACAAAATATATATATTTATAAAAGATGAAAATTTTAGTATTTAACATGATCCTTTAATTATATATTTTTTAATATTTATTAAAAATGTTAATATTTTCCTTTGTTATGTTTTATGTAATTGATTTATGTTTTTTTGATCTTTTTTAATTGAAATAATACAATTATTTAACAACATAAAAAGAGAAATTTGGGAGCGAGAATATTTTTTGAAAAAAATATATCACTTAAAATTTGCATCAGTTACAAACTCAATATTTTTAAAAGAAATATATTACATAAAATTGTCATCAGTTACACATTCAAAAATAAATGACAGGGAATTCATTCCACTTATTCATCAAATTTATAGTGTCGATTTTAAAATTTTCATTAATAATACACACAATCTCTGTTGAAGTAAATTTGATTACATTTGTGTATTTTTCTGATTGGAAAGAAAATTTTGAAAACGGGTATAATTTCATTGACAAACTATTTTGAAGGAGAAATTATGAGCTAAAACTTCAATATAATCGGTGAAATACAAATCGATCAGGTATTCGTTAACTCCTGAATATAATTTGTTTGGATGTTTTAACATGAAAGTTTTTAAACTTTTCTGAGTAATTATAATTTTTTTGAATGACAAGGAAGAGTTATAATAATGCACAAGTGAATACGAAATTAAATTTGGATTTGGTGAACAAAAGATTGAATATATATATATATATATATAGTAAAGAAGAAGGTGATGGAGGAGGAGGAGGAGAAGAGAAAATCAGAGAAAAAAGTTGTAAAAATTGTATTGTTATCAGAATTGTATTCGTATTAATTTTTGTTTGTGAATTATTTTTTTTTACTCAACATTTGTATTTTACAAGAGCGTTATATTTCTTTTTTAGTTGTAGTCATTTCATAGGTATGTCAAATGAATTTATATTTCTAAGTATAGATATATCATATTTCTTTCACAATCAATTTGTATTATTATTTTTTAGAATAGGTCAAATACATAAGGGATAATGCACAAGTACCCCGCAACCTATGCCCGAAATTCCAGAGACACACTTATACTATATTAAGGTCCTATTACCCCCTGAACTTATTTTATAAGTAATTTTCTACCCCTTTTTGTCCTACTTGGCACTAGTTTGAAAAAAAAGTCAACCAGCGTTGGCCGACAAACTAGCGCCACGTAGCCAAAAAAGTGGAAGAATATTATTAATAAAATAAGTTCAGTGGGGTAATAGGACCTTAGTAAAGTATAAGTGTGTCTCTGAGATTTTGGGCATAGGTTGAGGGGGGTACTTGTACATTATCCCAATACATAAACAGATCCCTAAATTTGTATGCTTTTTTCCCTCAGTTACCTCAACTATGTTATTTTCCTATTGAATCATTGAACTACCCATAGTGTGTTCCTTTTAAACATCGTTGGCTGATGTGGAACAAGATTTTGTGAGGAATAATGATGGAGAATACATAAATTGTTTCAGAACTCATTAGCCCAATTGATAGTGAAAATATTCCAAAATAATTGTGTTTTACTTTAAGTCATTTGGACGCATTAAAAACAAATGAGACTAACATACACTTTGTCTTCATTCTTTCAATCAAAATCATTACAATACAAACACAATTGAAGGCATTTACAATAGAAAAGTCAATCAAAACCAATCAACAATATTTAAAAAGAACACATTATTGGTGGTTCAATGATTCAATAGGAAAATGGTGTAGTTGAGGTACCTGAAGGAATAAATCCAACAAGTTTAGTGATTTGTTTATGAGTTTAGCCTTTAGAATATTATATCATTCCTCAATAGATTAAATTATTTTCACTAAGTATATATTTTTTTTAGAATCTTATATCACTTCTTCAATCGTATTCATATGTAAAGATTAGATTATATTGGGACACAATCAATGATATTTCTTTAATACAAATAAAAGAAAATATACTTTAGCAATCATATAGTACAATTTGATCACTTCGATACAATTTTCAGTTTTCACTATGAAAGTAAAATACTAAACATAGCGAAGAAGAAGAAAAGAGAGTCAAAGATAAAGATGGTAAAAATTGTATTTATATTAATTTTTGTTTGTCAATTATTTTCTTTTACTCAACATTTATACTCTTATTAACAATATTGTATTTCTTTTTTAGTTTGTAGTCATTTCATTGGTATGTCAAATGAATTTATATTTCTTAAGCATAGATGTATTTTGTTCCTTTCAAAGTAAATTTGTGTTTTATTAGAATATTGTTTACTTTCTCAACATATTGTTTTATTTCCACAATGTATGCAAAAAAAAAAAATAGAATCTTGTATCCTTTCTTAAATCATTATTACTTCATAATAAATAAGTATAATCCATTAAGAGCTTTTCAGGAATAAATTTATTTAGCTACTCATAAATTTAAGAGAGTATACCTGATTTTGTAGATTTGTAGCTTCAGATTTCTCCATAGTTATTAGCTTAATTTGTTAACTAGCTAGCTCTGATACCAATTTTGGGGTGGAAGCGTAAAGAGAGAGTATTCAGAAAGATGAGAGATGTAAGGATGAAGGTGTGTTTTATTTATGAGGAAAGCTCCTCTATTTATACACATAATTACACCGTCATACTATTTACTTTACATACTTGGCCGACAAACTTTTTACATGATTGGCCGACAAACTATTTACTTTACGACTTTTGTACATTTGGCTTTTTTCAGCCGACGCAAGACGACAAAAAATAAAAAGACTCTTACTTTATACATATGGCTGATATTCAGCCGACACAACAATACATATAATACTTTATACATATGGCTGTTATTTAGCCAACAATAATAACTTTTTTTTTTTATCTTTATTCTAAATCAACTGTAGGTATCACATTGTCTTCTCCGTTGCATTTGGAGCATTTGTGGTCTGGATATTTGTTGCTGATAAGTTTGCAATACCTTACTAATAATTCTTCTGAAATAAATCCTTTCTTCAAAGCTCTCGTAGATGGTTGTTCTTCTGGTTGTAACAATGACAAAATCCATCTTTGAACTTCGTCCATATCTGATTTTCTTAATTCTTTGGAGTTTGCATATATCATTACCTGATCTCTTGCATAATAGCTCCAAATAGCATTGCCATTTAAATAATTGTTTGCTAGCTCTTGTATAATCGTAGCTATACCAATTATTCTTTTATTTGCATAAAAATTAGGTATTTCTACTTTTGGTATCTCATTTTGTTTTTCTATCTCTTCTGGAATAATCATATCTTTTGTTAATCCTATCTTTACCACCTGTATTGGTGATTTTATCTCTTCGTATAATATCTCTGCTGGTGCTGTATAACATTTTATATAGAATAAATTTTCTGCTCTATGTAATTCTGGTATTCCTACTATCTCTTCTCCGGTATATGTGTATACTGTATTTAGTAGTCCGTAGTTATAACATGTTTTTACTAGGTTGGGGTTGGTCTTAGGTTGTGCAATAAGTTTGTTATATCCTTGTAGTTTCTGGGTTATATAATCTTCTTCGGAATTTTTTGTTTGTATAGATCTTGGGTTTAGGTTTAGGTATGTTTGGATTTTGTATATGTTTTCAATGTAAGATTGGGAAATATAGTTGTATCTTTTTTTGTCGTTTTGTAGGCTTACTGTATAGGTTGATGTTTGTGGTTCTGCTGGTATCTGCATTTGTGGTTTTTGGGTAAATGGTTTTGCAAATAACTGGTTTAAGTTTGTGTTTTTTGGTTTTTCACTAGTTCTTTTACTTGTACCTGCAGCTGTATCTGAACAAACATTGTTATGGGTTTTCCGGAGTTTCCCATCATCTCCTTCTATCTCTGGCTGTTTTCCGTCTGCCGTACGACGTAGCTCCGCATGTTTTTGGTCATGCTGCTGACCGTTAGCTTTCAGTTCCTTTACTTCTATTTCTATCTTTTCTACTTTTTGACATAGATTTGTCATCATTGCCAGTAGATCTTTCATCATATCTGTTTCTTGAGAGGTAGTCTGCAATTAAATTTTCGTCAGTTTTTATAATTTCAATTGTAAATGTAAAATTCAATATATTTAATATCAATCTTCTTATTTCCTTTGTTGTAACTGAATCATCTATCTTTTTGGTTATCCACCATTTTACCTGTGTATTATCTGTTCTTACAATAAATTTATTGTAAACTATGTATGGTTCGAATGCTAGTAAACATTTATATAATGCAAATAATTCTTTCCTATTTATTTCCCATTTTGTTTGTGCCTCAGTATGTGATCTTGAGCAATACCTGCAATGGTGTTCTACCTTTTCTTTATTATATTAATATTTTAGTATTCCTCCATAATTATGGTCACTTGAATCTGTTTCAATTATATATGTGAATGTTCTACTTTCATCAGGAAAATATAATTTTGGTAATTTTTTTGCATAATTTTTTAATATTTTTTATATGTTCTTTATCTTTGTTGTCAAAATGATATTCAATATCTTTTTTGAGTTTTTTGTATAATGGTTTTAAATGTTCTGCTAATTTTGGTATATATTCCCTTACTTGATTTACTAATCCTAAGAATGATTGTAATTTCTTTTTTGTATCTATATTTTCGTCCATAGTAATTATTTTTTGTACTATGTGAGTTTGCATCTTTATTCCATTTTTATCTATTTGTATTCCTAGAAATTCTATCTGTGGTTTCATAATTTCTGCTTTACTTTTACTTAAACTTATACCTGTGTGTTTAATTATGTGTATAAATCTTTCTAATAATCTTATATGTTCATCTTGTGTTTTAGAATATAATAATATATCATCTATATATATAACACAATTTTCTAGCTGGTTAAAACAGTTATCCATAAAATGTTGATATCTACCTGGTGCATTTTTATATCCAAATGGTAATACATTCCATTCATAAAATCCTTGTGGTACTGTAAATGCTGTTAATTGTTTTGATTCTTCTTCTAGTTTTAGATGGTAAAATCCTGATTTACAGTCAAATTTGCTAAAATAGTTGTATCCTTGTATTTGTCTTATTTTAAGTATTTTATTAGGTATTGAATAGTTATATGTTTTAGTTTTAGCATTTAAATTTCTGTAGTCAATAACCATTCTACTTTTACCTCTTTTTTGTTCACTATGTTTTATTACTATAAATGCTGGGCTTGTATGTTTACTATTACTTTCTTGTATATAATTTTTTTCTAATAATTCATTTATATGTACTTTAAATTCTTGTAAATCATCAAAGTTATATTTTAACGGTTTTTGTGTTATTATACTATTTTCATCTATTAGTTCAATTTTTACTTTTGTTTTATGTTTTTTCACATCCTTGTAATGGGTCTTCATTATATAGTTGTTCTAGCTGTTCATTGATTATTTTAACTTTGTCTATTGCAAATATAATGATTTCTAGTTGTGATATTTGTTTTTCACTTATATTTTCCATTTCCTGATTTATTTTTTCACTACCTCTAATCCATTCTATAGATTTTCGTTGTTTATTTTTTACTCTTTTTGCTCCTATTTTATAGCCACATGGCGTAGTAAGCCACCAGTGTGTTTTTGTTATTATGTGTGGGTAAAATTTATCTAAAAATGGCATTCCTAATAACATATCTTTTGTGGTAAATTCAAAATTATACATTTCTTCTATTGTTAGTATCTTATCCCATATTTGTATTTTTATATTTTTTGCTTTATATTTAATCATACTTCCTTCATTGTTAAATCCTGTTACTACCATAGGTGTTTTTAATTTTTCCCATTTATCTTCTGGTAAGCAATTATATTTACATATATTCGCTTCTGCTCCTGTATCTATCATAGGTGTATAATATCTGTTGTGATATCCTTCTACAATAATTTTTGCAAGTATAAATATTTTCATTAATCATTTTTGGTTCTTTTTATAATTATTTTCTTATTTTGACAAGTTATTGTTAATTGTTAATTTTCTATGCTGTATGGTTTAACCTTTTCTAACCATTTTATTCCTAATGTGATATTATGATTTCCTTCATATATCTTAAATTGTATTTTTAATGGAATTCCTCCTATAATTATTTCTTTTTCTGTTGTTTCTTCATTTGTATTTACTATTTCACTAGGTAATCCAGGGCATATGTGTCCTGTTTTCATAATTTCTTCTTCTAATACTAGTTCTCTTGTTATATGATTTTCTTCTTGTCCTGTGTTTATCAAGATTTTATATTTTCGTTGGTCCATTATTCCTGTTATAAAATAATGATATATTGTTATTTCTCCTAAATCTTGTGATATTTCATATTTTCTTTTAGATGAACTTATTCTTGATGAGGAAGCTCTTGTTAATGTATTTGGTACGCTTGAGGTGCTTAATCTTTCTTTTACTATCTCCAATTCTTCTTCTGTATCCATTTCTTTATAACTATAGTCATTATTATCTATTACCGTAATTATTCTTTCAAAAGGATTTTCTATTTTTATTTTATCAATTTTATTTCTTGCCGTTATTTTATGTTTTGTTGTTAATATATATAGATTTTTACATCTTGCTGTGAATACCTTACTTCCTGGTGCTAACTCTATTCCTGACATTTTCCAATATAATACTAATGATTTATCTATATTTGTATCTGTTAATGCTACTGTATAATTAGCACTTATTAAAAATTTAAATTTTTGGTATATTAAATTTCCTTTAACTGCACTTATTACACTTTTTTCTATAGGATGTTTTATTCTATCATCTGCTAAATATATTTCAATAGGTGTATCTATTCCTTCTCTGAAACAAGCTTTTATTAGTATTTCCGTTCCTTCTAAATGTACATATTTTATAGCTTCTTTATTTTTTATGTTTTGTATTTCTTTATTTATTATTCGTTTGTTTATTATAGGTATATATGCTTTTCCGCTTGTATATTTTCCGTCTATGATGTGTTCTTTTTGACTAATTACATAGTATTCTTCTTTCTGTCTTTTAAACCAGTTTTTTAGTATAGGTATGTCAAGTATTTTTTCAACACTTAAATCTAATTCTTTTCCTTTTATTTGTTCAAAAAGTGCATTATCAAATATAATTTTTTGGTGTGATGATTCTTCATCTTCATAATTCTCTTTAGATATTATTTCGTTTTCAGACATTATATTTCTTCTTCTTCTATTTCATTATCTTCTTCTCCATTTTCAGTTTCTATATCTGATACTTCATATATACTATCGTTTTCACTTAATTCATAGTCTATGTATTCTATTTGCATATATTCGTCATCATCTATAACTATTTCTGCAATCTGTTTTCTTTTTGGATTTTTAGGTAATTTACAGTCTTTAGCTATGTGTCCTATCTTTCCACAATTGTAACATGTACATTGGGATATTTTTCTTTTAGGTCTATATGGTCTTTTTATTTTATAGTTTTTTACATAATACCTTCGTCTTGGTTGTTTATATTTATACTTAGTTTTATTTTTTCTATAATTTTTATATCTTCTGGATTTTTGTTTTTTATTTGTACATCCAAACTGTGGTGCCATTTTATTTTTACAACATGATAAATTTTTATTTAGTACTTTTTCCATTTTTAATTTTTCTTTTTGGTTCTCACATAATTGTGTAAACCATTGAGATAGAAATTTTATTCTAGCTCCTAAAGTATCTACCATTCCTTCATTATTCCAATCCTTTATTATTTTTGTGCTAAATGGTTCTGGTAGTTTTGTAAAATATTGTTTTCTTATTTCTTTTGCTTCGTCTAAATTGTATTTAGATTTGTAATAGTATTCTTTGAATGCACAAGTATATTCTTCTATATAACACATTTTACATATAGCTAATTTTGTCATAAGTTGTCTATTTATTATTTTTTCCCTATTTTGTTCTCTTATATCCGTGGTCATACCTCCAAATTCATTTCTTATTGCTAATTCATATTTGTCTAGTATATCTATATTTGTTGCTGATGGGGATCCATCCATTTTCTTATCATTTCTAAGTACTTCTAAACTTTCTGGGGGTAGATTTTCTATCCATAATTTTGCTGTTCTTATGAATGTTCTTTCTATGTATCTTGGTGTTTTTGTTGTTTCTATTTTGTTATCTATTAACTGCTTGGATATATTTCCTGTCCATAGTAATATTGCTTTATTTATGTCTGTGACGCAATCTAAATCTAAGAAATTATATTGTTCACTTATTGGTTTCGGTATCCAATTTTTATTTAATCTATAGTTCCATATTGCATTATTTATATCTGATTGTTGATAACTTTCTGTATAATAAGTTGGTGGTGTCCATCTAGGACTACTTCTAGGGCTATTTCTGGGACTATTATCTGGGGTTTTTACTCTTGATGTACTAGGTCTATTCATATCTCCTGTGTTTATTTCCAATTTATTTATTTTATTTGTCTGTTCTAAGATTTCTGTATATGTCTCACTTATGTCACTTATTTCTGATTTTTGGTCATTTTCATTTTCATCTATTTCATTTACTTCATTTACCTCAATATCTTCATTTAATTTTTGTTCCATTTCTTTTATTTCATTAGTTAATTCAAGCTCTTTATCTTTTTCCTTTTGTTTTTGCTTATTTTCATATAATAATTTTAACCTAGCTAATTCTTTTTCTAATTCACTTATTCTTGTATTTTTTTATTTCTTCTAATTGTTGTACTTCTTGTTTTGCTTGTATTTTTATTTTTTCAATTTCTTTTGATTTGTCTATTTCTTCATTTTCTTTTGTTATTCTTATCATAGCTGTTAAACTATCCTCTAATTTTGCTGTTTCTTTTTCTAACATCAAGTATAGATTATTTCCTATTTTTTTATATCTTCTTCCTAAATTTGAAAATATTATTTTTATTATCATTCCATCTTGATTTTCATATGTTTTTTCGTCTACTGCAAATTCTTCTTTATTCATTATAATTTATGTATTATATTATGTTGTAACTCATATTCAAGACAATCTAATTCTAATTCTAACATAAATATGACTTTTCTTTGTGCTAGTATTGATTTATTACATACTTCTGCTAATATATTTTCTTCTAACCTATTTTTTCTATGTTGTAATTCTTGTTCTTTCTCAGTTATTTTTTCCATTATTTTTTCTATTAATTGTTGTTTATAAATTTCTTTGTTCATACTGTTTTTTCAAATAGCGAACGTATTTGTATTCTGTTTTCGAAATTATATTTATCAATTGATCTTTTTTATCATTATCTGTTTTGACTAGTTGCGATAGTTCATATTCTATATACAAGGGTCTTAATTTTTTCCATATTTTTCTTATCTTTTTATCTATCTTGGTTCT